GCTATCTTATACCATGATATACAGTTGTTGCGTGCAGGAAATTTAACCGATAAATTGTATTCCATTTTCGGAATATGTCACCAATATATTCTTGAAAAATTATATTAACAAATGAGATAGTTCATTTTTTTATCGATTCTGTTATCCAAAATTACTGACATCATTACGTAGCAGGTGAAAAGATCGCTCATTAACATGGAAATTGCAACTCGATATCCTGTCCACATCAAGTGATCAAGTAAAAGGACGTCTGTCATATCCCTACATTAAGTAAGTATCTTGCAAATCCAGTGCCAGTGTTTTTTTTTTTTGTTTCCAGTCATGTGCTTCCAAAACATTACTGACAACCAATGACCAAGGGTAAGTTAAACAAAAAATGAGGCAAAGGGAAGTCTATGTACTTTTTTAGAAATTTAAGTGCCGTGAGAACAAATCCATCAATCAGTAGCCGATGCTACATCATTTATGTGTTGAGAAAAAGAAATCTGTCACTGTTGAGTAATATGATGAATAAATCCCAGTTCAAAATTATAGAAATTTAGAGGAATTATCGGAATATTGAAAATTTTGATTTGTTGCAATATTGCTGTATTGCTTTATTGTATCTCTGATCGGTCGATTTCCATGAGCATCACGACAACAGTTAAAGATAGTTGGATATGACCTCGAATCCCATTATAGGTACCATATGGAATGTTACATCTGTTCAGCGTATCTTACTTCAACAATAAGACAAGAAATAAATAGAAAAGCACAAATGCCATTTAAATTTTGGGGGATTTTGAATCCATTGCTAATTTCGTACAAGTATCAAATAAAGGAATAAATCCCTTCCTCAAAAAAAGAAAATGGAATGGAATTTAAACAAGCTCGTTTTCGAAATTTTGATATGGCTGGAAGCATTTTAGAAAAAAAACAGTGTTCGAAATCGAGGTAACTGCATTATACACAAGTCTTCACTTTCCTAACCCAAAGATGGAATGAAATCTAATTTTAAAACAAATAGCACTCATAGAAAGCTTCTGAACATGATAACTATCTGTTTGAAATAAATTAACCCTCTACTTTCTATCACATTTCAAGTCATCCTTCGTGCGTAGTACAAAGATGAAAGAAGTTATGTGTTTTTTTTGGATTATTTACCCTTTTCCATCATAAAGGACAGATGAATAATGAAATTGAAATAATAAAACCAGTTAATAACAAGCGCACCAAAATATTTATCTAGTAACACAAAAATTGCAAAAAAAAAAAAGAAAAAAACGGCAACATAGGAAAGATGTGAGACAAAAGTGAAATTCGAAAAAAATGCAAGGAATGAAAAACTACCATTTCAGTCGAAATTTTTTTCTAGAAGATTAACATAAATTATACTTTCTCAGTTCTTCTCAGATTTCTCAGTTCCTAGAACAAGTTTTACGTCAACTAGAACTTTCCAAAATACTTCAGCTTACAATTTTCTTTAAATTTGCAAAGTAAAGGTGGGAACATATGTTTCAGGAACAGTTTTCTTGAGTTTTCCTTTCTTTTTTTTTAATGGAAAGATAAAACTGAACACTTTACAATTACTAAAAAAAATCATCGATATTTAATACATTGATCTAATTTTAGAGTGAAGGAAGACACCTCGAACTGTCACAGTAGCTTAATTACTGCTGCAACTTGATTGTTGCCATAATAACTAACATGTTAACTTGCAGACTGTTGCTGACTTAATTATGATATGTTATGGAAAGCTTCACTTTGATATAAAATTGCATAGTCAATAAGGGCAAATAAAGGGAACAACTTTTGGGAGCTCCTAGTCCAGTACTAAATGAAAATAACCACTGTGATCTTCTTCAAACTAAATTATGAAACGCAAGAATTTTACAGAAAACGCTGCGCGTAATTCATACCCAAAGCAAATGCATAGACCACCGATTCAACATAAACTTCGGTACAAATTAATTCAACATATGACAACAGCCTGTCACATTCAACAAGAACGACCTGAAGAAAAGCAAAGTTTGGATTTTCTAAATGAATTAAATAAAAAATAAAAAGTCTAAAGATTTGTCAAGATGATTTGAATGATCTTATCGTTTAATGAATCTTCTAATGGCAGTACCAAACATTCTCCTCAGAAAAAAATTAAAAATGCTTAGCTCTCTCTATGATCAGTATCACATGCTCGGTTCGTACTGCCTTCTGTTCAGCGGAAAGAAGTTTTTCTAAATAATATATTTGAAAAAAGGAAGAAAAAATAATGTACCTCAATGACCTCACCATCACCCAGATTTTGTTTTGGATTTTTATTCTCTGGTGCATCACCATCAACTTCGACCATCATAAAATTAAGGCTTTCATCCGCAAGACCAGGACTTAAGCCTTGTTTACCTTTCGTGCATGATAAGACCTCAAAAGAAATAAAGGAAAAATATGAAGAAAACTAGAATATAAAGGGATGTGAATTACATGGAAGACGTCTTGTTGGCATTAAAAACAAACCTTTGTAGCGGTATAACCTGTTTCTTCCTTTAATTCACGCAAACCCGCAGCCTCAATAGTTTCTCCGTCATCGATTAAACCTGAGTCGTAGACAGAAATTATTTAAAATTAAAAGACTACGAGTTTAAAAAAATCTGTATGAGAATGAAAAACTTCAATAACTGAGAATCCTGATATTTGTTCACAATTATTGTGCCTCACACTATGAACTTACTAAAAATAGAGTGAATGCTAGCATTTTAAAGAATCCAGTTCAAATACAACATATATTTTGGAAGCTCTCCATATCTACGATATTTACGGAATAAAAAAGTGATCGTTACAGATCCAAGGAGAGGGAAAAAAGAAAACATATTTCTGCGACAGTATTACTATTGTCATCATGTCTTTAAGACATCATAGCAAAAAAAGAAAATGTTCAAAATTACTGCATTAACCAGCTGGAAATTCCAGGCACATGCCAGCCATAGGGATTCGATACTGTTTGATGAGAATAAAGTACTTTTTGCCATCTTTGTGCAACGCTGCTAACACATCGACACCATCTGGTTTCGAATTTGAATCCCTTCGACGATGAACCGACTCCCAGACCTTTAAATTCCGAATTTTATTAATAAATGAGAAAATTCATTTCGCCTGGGAATATTCTTTTCAGTCTATAGCCCCTTTTTCAGTATTTAGCCTGTAGAAAAAGGAGTAGTGAAGAACAAAAAAGGACTAAAAATATTGATGCTTAGCACCGAAAGATGACCATGCTCAACAGCAAGGTACATAAATGATCAATCGGAGAGAACCCAGTTATATAATCTTTTGTCATTCTCAGCCTTCTTTATTCTTCACTTTCTCTTCCCCACAAACTTCTAAAGGTAGATTGTTACTGTAAGTCAAATCCTTCAGTTAAAAAAATACAAATCTCAGAAATATTTTATACAGAGGACCGAAATGCTAACTAATTGCTTGTTGCTCTTGATAGTTTTCAATTCTCTTTTATAATGCCAATTCGACAATATGCATCCGAGAGCTGCATATCCGATTTGATTTTATCTAATTAAACTGAAGCATAAAACTGATTGAACTGGCTTGAAAACAAGACTGGTAACTCACTGCAGTTCCTTGTGTAAGAGATCAAGGTACCTGTTCCGGAGAGGAATCACATTTACGAAATCGCACTTCACGCATTTTTAACCATTTTCCATCATATACAAATTTCGGCTGTCCTAATATCTTGAATGGACATCCAGCAAACATTTCTAAATCATTCTAAAGATTATAGGAAGAACATTTGCATTTAAATCTTTTGGAATTTTTGAAAGTTTTGCAGTGCTGTTGAGTTTTCTTTTCATATACCAAATAATGACGAAATTGAATATTAAAACGAGGAATTATTAATAAAAAATATTATTCAATCTATTCTTCGAAATGTAATAACGAACTGCAACTACAGATAAACATATATTTTATCAATCAATCTCTAATTATTTCAAATTGGAACGTCCAAAATTCTCAATTTTCTTACTTAATTTGCTCATTGTTCAGTTAATTAGTTCCTTACATTACATACCACACGCACTGAAACAGTGCCATTCCCCTCTTCTCAATCCCTCCTTTCAATTATTTCAAAAAGCTCACAACTTATTTTTCATAACTTCCATAGGATTCGATAATCCCTGAATACTTAAGTATGATACATAAACCACAGTACAAAAATGGATCATCTCACTAACATACATTTCAGGTTAACTTCATCGGTCATATATCATATCTACTAGCAAACAAATAAAGTAAATTGTAATCGACGTGTTATCTATTGTGTATCCAATAAAAACTATTCATAAACATCATCGGTGTAAGCTACCGATTCCCGATTCCCGCCTGTGGTCTACCTTCTACGAGCATACTTAATTGCATCTCATATATGACTACGTAAAGAAGATACTTTCAATCTATGTCACTTTTGACAGCTATGGCTATTTCATCATTTTTTTAATTCACTCCTCACTTCGTTCTTTTCCATGCTATCGTTTTCTACTATCTGCTCGTCCACTGTATTCCCATATACTCTCAAATGCTGTCATGAAAGTTTCATCGATCTCTGCCGTTTCTTCACATATGTCATCTTTTGTTGTTATAAAATTCTCTATCAGACTCTCTGCCAGAGTGTGATGCCCGATTTCTTTCGGCTATTCATAACAGTATTATTATCTGCTCCTACTCTCTAGTTCTCACTCTTTTACATTATCATTAATAATCACCCGATACTAGCTAAGAAATAATCACCCGATACTAGCCAATACTTGTCGTGTCGCGGACTTATTGGCAGGGGTCATAGCATTTCATTATTTCATTCCCAACCCGTTTCTGTGTGCATTTCTTCTGATTCCTAAATCACCGCGGATGTTCGGGTATATGCGTTTTGTTTTCTACATTTCGTATATTTCATAAAATCTACTGCAGTCTAATCGACAGTGGAAGCACTATTTGGCGGTGGAAATGACGGGAGTTGAAGTAGTGGAGGAGAAGAAACTTAGCAAAAAGTAAGTGACTCTTCGTTGGGATTATCATATTTAGTAAAGTGACACAATTGTAGTGTCATTATATGGTACTGTTAAGATAACAATAGCTGATACTATTCTTACTCTTTGACAAATGATTGCAAACATTGTTCGGTGTGCTCAAATAAAATGGCATACTGTGTCGCGATCATTGTTACGACATGTCAATGGTTCAAACGCCACGCAGAAACGATGCAAAAGGTATATAACTGTTGAATGTGTATCAGGTTGGTTTCAGCTAGAGTACAAGGATACTGTTTAGCTGAATGTTTGTGGGATTAGTTGAAATTAAAGATAAAACTACCATCGTGGTAATACTTGGATAGAGTTAGTTATTGATTTATGAAGGTTGCTTTACATCTATGTGTTGTAACTGTAACTTTTGTTCTAAGTGAGCAAAAACGGCAGCTAAAAGCGCAACAGAAACTGAAGGAAAAAGCAGAAAAAGAATTACAACGAGCTGCTGCTGCAACTGCTTCGGTAGCGGAAAAAAGCAAGCAAGATGGAAAGGTGGTCGATCCATCGGACCCACAGGTTAGTCGATCGTGAATCCATCAGGCTGCTGCATATTTGTTGCATGGCTTAAGCAGTGTTGATAGTTTCAAGCTTCACTCTTTTTGTTCTCGCGCTTCTCATCTGACATCTCTCTTTTTGTCAGCTCTTAACCACAGAATGATAATTGACTTAACTATCGTAGTTACAAATGATATATGTATTTTATATCGTAGTTACAAATAATATATGTGTTTTAATGCTTTTGTAAAAATTGTTTGCATTGTCTAGAAAGATCATCAGTCTGCATCCAGTAAACTGTTATTCTCTTGATTCAAAGTTTTTAGTGTCTTTTAATTTGGTGTTTGTATTTTAGGAATATTTCAAACTGCGAACAGCTCTAATTAATGAGCGTCGAAGCAAAGGCATCAATCCATATCCTCACAAATTTCACGTTTCGATATCTTTGGCAGATTTTATCGCTAAGTATAACAGCTTGGAGAAAGATGTCATACTGAATGACATTGTTCAAAGTGTAGCAGGTAGGTGTGTTGTATTGATTCATCTGTTGTATTATCTGTTATTTTTTTTTTAATCGCAATTTCCAGGGCGAGTATTTTCAAAACGTGAATCGGGAGGAAAATTGATTTTTTACGATCTTCATGGAGAAGGGACGCGCCTACAAGTACTTGCAAATGCTAGGTTTATTTTGCAAATTCTAGAGTTATTCGGATTGTTTGGAAGACTTTATGGAACATCCTTGCGGTTGACGTTGATAGAAGATATTCTTACTTTTTTATAGTACAGACTGATTTGCATTCAAAGTTTACAGATTTCATAGTGGTGATGAGGCATTTGATAATCTTCATGATCGAATCAAGCGCGGCGATATTATCGGTGTGAACGGATATCCAGCAAGATCTAAGTCTGGTGAACTTAGCATTATACCATATGAGGTTAATACTGGAAGTTCTTCAATCTTTACATAATTTGTCATTCACATGAAGTTAGTTTGATCCCATTAAAACTAAATTTTATTCAACTTAGTCCGATTTTCTTTTGCATACACTTCATAATTGTGTGTAGGTTCATATTGTGTTTCAGATCATTCAGCTGACCCCGTGTTTGCATATGTTACCACATACACACTTCGGTTTAAAAAATCAAGAGACTAGGTATGTCGTAAAGGTTTTCGCGTTTCTCATAAAACTACATGATTCATTTGTTTCATTGCAAAATACTATCAGTGCAAGCATTAAATATGAATGCATGAGGTTGATTTATGATTTCTTTCTCATTGATTTATGCTGCTTAAAAATCAGCATTGTTTTCATGGGTAAAAATTAACGGCTTTTTCCTCCAAGCGAATATATCCGATTTGTTTGTTGAAAATCAAGAAATCGATTGCAGATATCGGATGCGTTATCTCGATTTGATTATGAATCCTGATGTCAAAAATAGATTCGTCACTCGATCAAGGATGATCAGTTTTTTGAGGCGTTATCTTGATAATCTAGGTTTCTTGGAGGTAGGTGGTCGGATGAAAAAGGAATTAAATCTCTTCAGTTTTACAAACTTTCCTTCCCGAAACGCATTCACTCACTTTTTCATAGCTGTTCAGTTTTACGTAGTTGATTTTCGGGACTGATAATTGTGGTGATATAACTTCATGTTTTTAGGTTGAAACACCCATGATGAATCTGATAGCTGGTGGTGCTACAGCTAAACCGTTTATCACACATCACAATGACCTCGATATGGACCTTTACCTTCGAGTTGCTCCTGAATTGTACCTAAAGGTAGCTCATGTTGATACATCTTAGTAGCAAAAATTTTCACAGTGCCCTTCACAATAATTTGTTTTTCAATACAGATTTTTGTTCAGTTTAATCACACACGCAAGCCTTTTAAAAATTTGTTTATTCAAATTTTAGATGTTGGTGGTCGGTGGTATCGACCGTGTTTATGAGATAGGGCGAGTGTTCCGTAATGAAGGAATTGACCAAACTCATAATCCAGAATTTACATCATGCGAATTTTACATGGCTTATGCAGACTATGAGGACTTAATGAAGATTACTGAGGATATGCTTGCGAGTAAAGATTTCTTTTATGCTGTAACTTTTATGCTTTAATAATCTTCATAACTTCGGTAAAATAACCTATTCCACTCTTACGATTTGTCCCAGTAGTAATTATTAAAGAAATGCTTAGTGTGTACCAAGAAATTCATCTGTATTTATTGGGCGTTAATACAACATTCTAACAGAATCAACGTGTATTATAGGAATGGTTTATTATATGCATGGAACTTACAAAATTCAATACCATCCGAATGGTATAGTCGAGAATCCCGTATATGAAGTAAGCTCATGCATGTTTTCTTTGACGTTTTCTTTCCATTCAATAACAAGTCATTGGAGTTATTTGATAAACCCGGTGCTGTTCCTTATTACTCGAATTGGATTAATTATAATCAAATTTATAAAATCATGCTTCATGTACTAACTTGTGTCTTTTTATTCTGATGTGAAAATCGAGAAAATTTACTAAAATTGACTTTTATTTGCAAAGGTTGATTTCACACCACCTTTTCGAAAAGTTAATATCTACGATGGGTTGCAAGAAAAACTTGGTATTCAGTTCCCTCCAGCTGACACTCTGGACACCGATGGTTTGTTCATTTTATAATTCTTCAATTTCATTTCGTATCACTTATGCCTTCATTGTATTTTTTGTCATTCGCAAAAATTACAGTGTTAATATTTCTGAAGTTAAGTTTTCTTCTCCGCTCTAGATTTTTCTTAGTTTTCAGAAGCCAATAAATTTTTTGACAAGTTAGCAGTTGAAAATAATGTCGAGTGTCCAGCACCGAGAACAACGGCAAGACTGCTTGATAAGGTTCTTCTTTGTACCATAACTCTCCAGCTTCTGTGTTATACGCATATGACATGCAAGTAACAATAGTTTTGGAGAACTGACTATCTAATTAAAAAATAGTCAATGTGTAATTTAGATAAAAAATCAACCACAAGATTGTGAGGTTACTGACATCAATCTTTTCAACGTGAATGTTTAGTTATGTCCTAACAATTGATCTAATTACTTCTGTATTGTGCTAATTTCATATTCTATGGAGATTAATGGTTAATATGTAATTCATTAATTCGTTTCAAGTCTGAGGAAATCTCTTCTTACGTTATTACACCTTTGCTGTTTGTGCTTCTGATGAGATTTCAGATGAGCATTGTAGGACAATGTATTTCTGCTTTCTTTTGTTGTGTCAAGAAATTATTTCAGTTAATTGGTGAATTTTTGGAACCCACATTTATATCGCCAACTTTCCTTACCGGACATCCACAAATAATGTCACCCTTAGCAAAATGGCACCGTTCGATACCGGGCCTAACGGAAAGGTTTGAATTGTTCGTAGTCACCAAAGAAATCGTTAACGCTTATACGGAATTGAATGATCCATTGACGCAACGGCTTCGTTTCGATGAGCAAGCAAAGGTGCCTTTTTTCGATTATTTTGCTCTTCCAGTGGTCTGTTTGAAATAATGCTTCATTGGAATGATGGTTTCCTATAATTTTTGCATAATTATTTTTCAGTTTCCTGTTTGATTTTATTTTCGTTTTATCATTAACACCATGATTTGCTGTGAAATTACAACTGCTTTTAAATGGCATTCCGGATGTTGAGTAAAAAGCATGAAAATATATCGAGATCAACGTGAGTACAAGTCACGATGAACTACCGCTCGTTAGTTTACTTTAAATGTGATATTCTATTTGTAGCAAAAGCAAGCAGGAGATGACGAAGCACAAAATATTGATGAGAATTACTGTACCGCATTGGAGTATGGTTTACCACCAACCGCTGGATGGGGTATGGGTATTGATCGCTTGGCGATGATCTTAACTGACAGCAATAATATCAAAGTATGGTAGTCTGTTTCTAGTTCTTAATAAGTTCATTTCGAGCATAACAAATTAACATAAATTAAGTCTTTAAGTAATGGAGTCAAATGTATACTCCTTTAATCTGGCTTGCAATTTAAAATGTAATGAAAAGAAAAAGGGGTTTGTTTTATAGTTCTGTTGACATGGTAAATTAAATCTGAACATCCCAAATCGGAGTTAAAAATAAGGAAGCTAATTGTCATTCGTTAATAAACTTGAGAATATAAGGACAATTACTTCCTACAGTGCTTTGGTCTAAAACGTTTGAGTGAAATGGGATGCGATATTATACGGGAATGAAAAAAAAAAAGAGAGCCGTTTCCGTTGAAGTTTTGTTCTGGAATAGAGCCCGGTATTCAGAATTTTACGATAATGTACGTGCTTTCAGGAAGTGCTGTTCTTCCCAGCAATGCGACCTGATGAAAAGGGGACAAATGTTTTGGATGAAGGAGGTAATGCCTAATGTGACGGGTCTGTGGAATTTATATTTTAACTTGAACTTGAAGCGTTAATGAGGTTTGCTTCAACAATGAAGCAACTAAGAAATTCGTACATTTTGGCTGATGTATTGCAAAAATCCGTACATTTTGCCTGGTATATTTAATGCTTTAAACATATTAACTCCTTGCTATTTGTTGTTAAGTTTTTATTTTTAACCGGATGATGCATCTGGATTTCCTCTTTGTTACTTTTTTTAGTCTTCAGGAAATTCTCACTTTGCTTTTTATTAACCTTGGAACTAATATTCACTGTGCTTCTTTGCTAAATATATGTTTGATATGCACAAGTGCAAACAAATAAAGAACTAAATCTTGTCTCGTTGAAGCAAAGAAGATAATGTACAATGAATCTTAATATCTCTCATGTTTCTTCTCAAACACTATTAAGAAAATGGCAGACTAAAATACATCTTATACATTCTTTCTGGGAGTGTAAATTAGGACCATTCAAGTTCACTACGTTTGTAGCGGAGTTGAGGATCTTTCTCCTTTTCTGAATAATAGGTATGGACCAACGAGGCGGTATCGCTCCTACTGTGAACAGAGCTCCAACACACAGTAATCATATCGTACTTGTTTCATCTTAAATCTGCTGTTAATATGCTGTGGTTTTAAATACCGCTCGGTGGTACAGTACACATCTGCTATCTGCATTATGGCTATTCCTATAATTCGTTTTCCAAAAACAGTATCTTCCTCTTCTTTCTGATTCTTTGAACTAACGCTTTTACCGCCGAAACCTAGAAGGTAGCGAAACTGTTTTAGTGGTATCGATCTTTCATCCCATGAGTTTATACATTTTATACAGATATGCGGGCTTCAGATATCCCTTTACATCAATTGGCGCTTCTGCCAGACGTTTCATGCATTTAAAAACGATGTTTGCGGGATCGCTTACATACACGATGATAAGTTTGATAAAAAAATACGCGAAATCGTTGTTATTACCAAAGACTTCAGAAAAGAAAAAAATACTGGACTGAAAAAATAGTCCTCAAAATTTTTCAAACATATTTTAATAGAAGATATTTCTGTCAACATATAAAACATACAATGTCCACATGGATTTATTTGGAATTACCTCAATAAAATTCTAAGAATAACTCAAAGTGAGGACAACATAACATATGCAATAACAGTCAGTAATATTACATGCAAATTTCTGTTATTCATAATTAAAATACTATAGCATTAAATTTTCAGTTCCATAGGATATATCAAGTATCCAACGAAATAATATAACTGAGCTCATAACAAAACTAATGCATAGTTTTGAAGCTTCAGCAGTAAAGAAGGAAAGGATTAAAATCTAAAACTGCAATAAACCCATAACAATATTATTACAAAACGAATTCAAGCGTTTATAAACTACAAAATTGTAGTAGCGTTGCATTTTGAACAAATCAGTTATCAAATTCGAAAATCAAACAGCGCTGATGGAATCCAATTCCAACCATTAGCGGAAAACCAAGAAATTTTATGTTAAAGCAATCAAAGCAAAGTAGTTAAAGCAATTTTATATGTTAAACAATTTGTGTTACAAAATTCCATCATAACGGTTGTTTAGAATATTTCCCAGGATTTGCCACGTTAAACAAAAAATTAAGCAAATGTTTTTCTATGCCTGAAGTGATGAATTATCTATCTTCAAATTGTGTGAAAATGTTCTGATCTTATAACGAATCTGATGGTAGGGACATTGTACACATTCGGTAAATTAATTTACATGTAAATTCTTCTTGTCTGAGAGTTAATTTTATATGCAAATTATTTATATGCGCTGTTGGAATATTGTAAAGATCTCATATGCAACTGCCTGTATGTGTAAGCACACCCACTACATAAACCCTGGGAACTAGAGACTCACTTCTCACCTACGACCATCAACATCGTCTTAAAAATGTGCCGAACCTACTAATTTTTATTACTACGATTTTATCGAATATCTGAATCATGTCCGATTTTCTGATTTGAGCTGGTATTATACCTCAACTACAAATAAACTTTACTATCGACAGACCTGTTTACTGCACAATCAACTAATTTCACGACTATCTTCAACATAACAATAAACAGAACGAAGCTCAAAGAATTTGGCGATTCTTAAATCTTTTATACCATAGAAACGAAATAAAAACATGAAAAGTAAAAATCATATGAAGTAGCCTTTCAAAATAAATAACAACATTTTCCAGTCCACAATCCACTAACCTAAACATTAGTTCCATGCTAGTTTTTCCATTTAAAAATTATGAAAAGAAGGAACCTTAGAATTCAGTTTTTTAGAAATAAAATTCATAACTTCGATAAATCCTGATCATATATAGAGTTTTTCAATATCAGCGTAAAACAAATGAGTACAAAAGACTTCCGTCCTTTCTAGTATCGAATTATGATCAAGGTATCGTCGACAAGGCAGGGAACGGATTTTGCTTGCTAATAACCAGTTTTTTATGCATATGACTTAGATATCCTTTGATTTTCTTCTGGAAGATATAAGACAAAAATAACTGATTTAGTACATAATTAGAAATAATTAAAATAGATTCTCCCGAAAAATCTTTAACAATTAACCACAAGCGTTCGAATGAATTAGAAATTCTTCCATATTCCAATTCTTCTCTTCGAAACAAACTCAAGGTATGAGATCACTACATAAGAACCGAGTTTCCAAGCCAATGAGACTACAGTCTCCAAACTATTGAGAAAGACAAAGTTAGTATACAAGGTTGAACTCACCTCCACAATCAAATTTGCAAGTATGCATTCCAGCTCGTCTTCATCCATGTCTTCAATGCCAAGCCATCGGATGGCACACATAAATGCCTCATAAGAGATCTGATTTGTGCCATATATTCGAGTACTGTTAAAAAATTGTGGGTAATTAACGAAATGATGAAATCTATTACGCCATTTTTTTTACAATATCTAACCGTTAAAATCAAAAGTTTTGATATTAATAACCATCATACCAGTACTGAATTAAAGATAAAACAATATGATAAATTAATAATTGATTCAAAATAAAAATAACAATATCAAACCAACATTTTTTTGAATAAATTGCGAAACGCAATAATTTTTAATTTTTCTAACATAAGATATATTCCACATTCTACAAAAAAGCGCTCGTTTTCCATTAGCGTTTCATCGAGTTTCTTTAAATTTCCATCCCTTAAATTAGGCTATAACTTGTAATCGCAGCAAAGGAAAATTTCAATACTTTCAAAAAAGGAAGAAAGACGTCATATACTGCTAACTCATAAAATTCACTTTACACTCTCGACAACGGTGGCAAACTGCTGCAGCTGATATCGTTTCAATAAGTCGGCAGTTGGCATATGTCCGAGAAACATTTTCACCGGCACCAAATAAATCAATATAAGTCGTTTATTTCTTGCACAATGGGATGGACAGTTCCGAAAAGCATAGGATAATGATTCTTCTGCTGGAACGTGCATCATTCGTTAAAAACAAAAATGAGAACTTAAGTTTCATAAAACGTATGTTTGAGCTTATAATCAGTAACTAGCAGAGCACATTTAGCAATAGCAATGCTTTTGAGCGACCCTTATTAATTAGATTATGAAACTTACCCGTGTTTCTCCAAAATTTCAATAGTAAAAATATATACATGTTTTCTAGAATTTAATTTTTTCTTACCACCAAAGCAAAAAACAAACATACATAGTGATAAATCTGAATCAAACATTGCTTTCCGGCCCAAATAATATTTATATGTAACTTTATCAGCCATTGAAAACGTCTGATATAATGGACCGCTGTTGTCTATTGCTCTAATGAGTGGTTTGAGTAGATTCAATTTGTTTATCTAAAAAGGCAGCTGAATTAAAAAAAAAAGATTTGTAGTCTTACTATCAGATGAGTTAAAAGAAACAGTTTGACAGTTCCTATACTGAAATCCATTCGGAGTCAATAAATAGCCATGTTTGAAGTGCAGTTAGTTACACTACTATTAAAAGACAAAAAATAGTATGATAGTTTCAGCAAAGCAAGAAAATATACATCAAGCAAGATTCAGCTAGTTTCGAAAGAAAAAAAAACATACTCTGAAATAAATTCGGAATAGCTGATTAGTGAGATTAAGCATTGCCATCTTCTTCGATGTATGAATTTCTGCTCGTCTGGAATGAAGATGAAGAATTTAAAGGAAAATTTCGAAAATAGTTTCTTTAAAAAAGATTGTGGGAGGTCAACTCATTTGATCAAACAATCTGCTTCGCATAAATTTTACTTCGACAAAACTACAGACAACTTTCTAAATATACCTGGAACGTCTACTTCATGAAGTTTAATATACTGACCACCATTAACTACAAAAACGATGGCGAAATAAAGAATAAGAGGTGAGACTCACACATCAGCAACACACGTTCGATAACATTCCATAATATAGGTGGCAGATTGTTCATAACAGCTACTCTTTTCCGGATCACGTAACCGAGACGGTTTATTATCGGCCTAAAATATTCACATCTCAGTACTGGTAACTTATTAGAGGGTGACATGTAATGTCTGCTCAATATCAAATGCAAATACTGAATTCACCGAACGGGCCAAAAGTCGCAAATCAGTGCAAAGAGTATATAATATTGGTAAGAACCAGTTCTGATCCTTCTCCTTTTGCAAAACTTCTTTGTTGAACAATTGCACAACCTTCAAAAAAATAGTGTTTATTTCCTGCATTCTGTAGTAATTGTACTAACTTATGTCGGTCAAATCATATATATAATATCGAGGCAATTTTTTGCGGATATCCAAAACTACACAATTTGTCTAAAGCATTGCTTTTTTTTCCCATGAAGATCATCAAAAATTTTAAATGAAAAAAATTTAGGAAGAAGGAATCTTAGTCAACCTGAACGTGCGTGTTGAAAGCATTTTCGAAGTGTTCCTTACTCAAATGATAGATGACGGCCAAATGTAAGCATGCTATCTCATCGAAACTATTATTCAGATACAATCGACGTTCATCTTCTGCTTTCTCTAACTGAAAACAATTTTTATAGTTGATTGATCCTTCATGCCTATGCATTCTTTTAGCAGATCCGCTGCTTTAATCAAAGGGAACATTCATCATCACCAAATTAAACTTTGAGTTCATGCAAATGGTTGTTGTCAGCAGGTGTGCTTGGGACATCAAATATGCCATTCGAAAATTCACCTGTAGAAATTTCATGTGTACATGAGCGTCTCCTATCGAGAGTAATCTTGCAGCTTCTTCGGACAGTTCCCAATTTTCGCCTGACAACAAATCATTCAGCCTTCTGAAATAATCATTCAAACTCCGTAATGGCGACGCCATCCTGAAAATTGAACCATATACTATATTCTGGTGCAGGACACACACACACGCACACACACACACACACACGCACATACACACACACATTTAACCAAAACTCGTTGAAAGTCACACGCGAACTTTATAATAGACGGTGAGAAAACCTAACAAAACACACGTTTTGTTGTGGAGATAGAGGCTGATAAAGTAAAAATAGCATTGATGAGAAAGAGACAAGAGGGTGTTGGGGTTTAAAATACAAGAGATTTCTAAGAGAAAGCAGAGAAAAAGATAAGGTACTGTTAATTCATAGGAAACATCCTTTTCCTTGCATGTTTGGCCTATTAGCTAGGCTGATGTAACATTAGGACTTGGGCATAATGAAGTGGTAAATATCAGCCAAGTATAAGAGTTGAGAAATGTTGGGTAAAAGGATATTATTATAAATGAAATATGACAAAAGACAAAATGAAGTTACTGAAATTGGTAGGAATGACTATATGATTGATACCCATCCAATCATTTATCTCAACAAGGTGAATGGTCGGTTACTTTTAAGAAATTATACTTTATGGTGGTGATGTCTGTTGCTTATCACTTATCACTATACGTCTTGTTTTTGACGTGATATGGTGACGATGACTTCACGAAGTTCTTATCATACGGTACAATCATAAAATCATTTTGCAATCATTTCGGGTTTTTGGACTATATTTTCAAGAAGTGTTCAACGATCGGTTTGGTGCTTTGTCCAATGGATTTGACTGAACGAGAGGAAGATAATGGCACAATATTGGGGATATTCACACCGTATGATTACTGTCAACGGAGTACTTTTAGTTTCCACCGCGAGGAAATTCAAGAAGACAGAAAGGATGTTGGTGACCTTGCAGCAATTGATAGCAGTAATGTTGCTGCATACAGTGCTGCTTCACTTGAGCAGGGCCTACTGCAACAGGTATGGATGGCAATTCTTTTCTTTTGAATAATTTTAGAATTTATGTTCATATGACGGATCGTTGCGTGAGCAGAAGTGAAAAAATTTTTCAGCAGCCTTTCAGTTGTGACGATATACTTTAATGCATTGAATTTCGTCTTTCTATTTTGCGTACTGTAATTTTTACATCCTTGAAAAGATTTTTCTTAATACCCGCATCGATGATTGGGACACTTTAGTGAGTGATATAGTAAATGAAAGAAAATTCCTTCAAAATGAAGCAGGTCTGCAAGTTAAACTAATGATTTTATTGTGACTATACATATAAAATCGGTATAAGGTTTGTTTTGCCTACCTTATGTTAATTTGCACTTTAAATTTCGCTTTATAATTTAAAACGTATTTTCACTGTTCTATTCTAGGTTGAAAGGACATTTAATGAAAATGTTGCTGTACTGGGAACTGCAATATCACAGGATACGAATCCAAAAGGATTGCAGAATTTTATAGTCAAAAATGCACAATCTACATTTGTAAGAAATGGTGATATGACTCCTTTTGAAGTGCTTGATGAAGCACGGAGTAATAGCTCAGAGGCTATGCTGGAAGAGCTGAAAATTTGTAAGAAAAGAAAGGTATATTTCGTTTCTAAATCTAATCCGAATTTCCCTATTTTCAGATTTATCTTGTTTTTCTCTTCTAGTAAGTTACTGAGGAACGAAAAATGGTAGAAATTTGCAACATTTATGCTCTCCCATTACCTATAGATTTAATTCTTATTATACTTCTATTTATTAGGCAAACTGCATAATGAAATGGAAAAGTAATAGATCGGTAAGTTCTGTATCTGACAGCGAATTTACTCAAAGCGAAGATGATAGAAATACGTCGCCTGAAACAGAACTTATAGCAAAAAAGAAACGTCGACGAAAAGTTGCAAAGACAAAAAAAGTTGACGGAAAAGAACGGGATGATGCTGACGATGATTATTTTAGGAAAAGAATACGGTACGAAGCTTGAATTAAGTATCAAATTAAAATAAATAGTTAACTTTTGGTATTCGAAATTCTCATTAAATCTCAAAGAATTTTTTTGATCAAGTATTTTAAAATCTAGGAAGGGGTCACGTCAATGTGCGGATTATTTTCTATGAATAAATAGTTTGCTTAATTCTATGTTTAGAACTCATCTTGCTCGACTAGAACTTTCAAAAATTGAAAGCAGCGAAAATAAGTTGCAAGAGGAGAGTGATTTTCATGAATTGAAGAATGACATGAAAATACCGAACGATTGTTGGAAGAAGCTATATAAGTTTGTTTTTCCTGCAAGTAATTTGTGCTAAAGAGAAAATACATATACTCGGTGAAAGTTAATTTTGCTATGTCTTTTGCTTATGTCATGTGCTCAGTAATATCACGCTGTAATTAAGTTTGTCAGATTTCTTCATCCTTATTGTTAGTTACTAGGTTTGGAGAGAAAAGCATAGGGTGTATTATAAATTAGAAGCTAGCAAATGTATAATCAAGATAAGATTAGAGCAATGGACATTGTGCATCGGGAAACCAAAATATTGAAATTATTCGAAGTAATCGAAGACTTGCGTCATAACAGTTTTGCATCAATGAAAATGATGCATTGCAGATATCAAAAAACTGGTGTAAGATGGTTGAACGAATTGCATAATCAATGTGTTGGTGGCATACTAGCTGATGAGATGGGTCTTGGGAAAACAGTTCAAGTGATTTCATTCCTAAGAGCACTAGCATTTTCACGTTTGGAGGATAGAGGATTCAGGTGATATTAGACTCATTTATATATTGTGACTTCCTAGTATTTATAATTTGTTAATGAAGTGTTTGTAGTTCCACCTTGATCTTTATAAAACTGTTTATTTGTAGCTTTTTTGGCCTTGGTCCAGTGCTGATCATATGTCCAACAACATTAATACATCAGTGGTTGAAGGAATTTCACACATGGTTCCCACTCTGTCGTGTTGCCATTTTGCATAGCAGTGGTTCTTTTCATGGCCAAAATCCGCAGTTAATTCGGAAAATGGTTGTCGCGAGAAGGTTTCTTTTCCGTTTAAAAGTTGAAAATCTTGAAATTTTCAGATTTGAAAGAAATAGAATGCTGGAGGAATTTCATCTTAAATTGCATCATTAAACGATAAAATTGTTTTAGTTTACGTTTAAAATTTGTACTGAATATCACATTAAATAGGAAATATGCTTCCAAGTTGTTTTTAGTGATGGTAATGTTTTGCTGACATCATATGGAACATTTGCAAGAAATCGAAAGCACTTAGTTGACAAAATCTGGCATTATGTAATACTGGATGAGGGACATAAAATTAGAAACCCAGAAGCTCAGGTAGTTATCTTTAGTTTCTTAGCTGAATTTTATTACAATCTTTGCAAAATGCTTTGTGAAAGTTTGTGACTTAAGCAGTTTCTTTATATTCGTTCTGCCTATTTATTGAATTTTGTCTTTTTTTCTTCTGTGAATACGATTAATAATTGAAGTGCTATACGTAACAGCGAAAGAATATCAGTACATTAGAATCGATTATCATGCTACACATTTGTTAAAACACACAGAAAATGTAGCAAAAGACACTCAGGTTAATATTGCAATGTAATAAACAAATTAATATCCACAGATTTTTCACCACCTCAAATCGATGTAGCGATAAAAATGATTATCTTAAAATGAGGTGTTTCCCGAAATCATTGTTTGGTATTTTCCTTGTATTTAAAATCACAGATCTTAATATTAAGATTACTCTTGCCGTGAAGGAAGTACGTACTCCTCACAGATTGATTCTTAGCGGTTCACCGCTGCAAAATTCTCTTCGAGAATTGTGGTATGTGTTCAAGCTATTTTCTCTTCAGTTTAAGATCACAGCTTCTCCAAGTATGTTTAGGACATATCCTTGTTGATTCAACTTGAAACCTGATTATAAAAACTTGAGGTAAATTGAGTTCAAAACTCCTTTATCAATGTTTTATATAATATTTATGGAACCACTTAATAATATGTTGTCCTTTGTAGGTCATTAGTTGATTTTGTTTATCCGGGTCGGCTTGGTGCTTTGCATTCATTTATGGATAAATTTTCAATTCCAATCACTCAGGGAGGATATGCAAATGCTACTGCGGTCCAAGTGCGTACCGCATACAAATGCGCCTGCATTTTGAGGTATGCAACACAATTCCTAGCGAAAATATTTGTGTTAAGAAATGTATACTAGTAGTGGTTTCATGGAGATGATTATTTCTTAGTAACTTTTAAGCAGTCCTCGCGTACACAAGTCTTTTCCTTGGCAGATTGAGGTGTACTGCAGCATAATTGTTGAGAGTCACTACTGAAAAGATTCTACTGCAGTAGTGGTCTTTCTTATTATTAATGACTCCCAGAATACTAACAGCTGCATTAGCTTATGTTTATTCGCATACTCACTAAATTTCAAGAATATTTTTATTTTTTGTTTTAATTTCTCTTGGAACGTGCTGTTTTCTGCATTTTTGATTTATGTATGTGAATATGATGTATGTTTTTGTGCAGTTTAGCATTTCAGGGATGCGATTAACCCTTATCTCTTGAGACGCTTAAAAAAGGATGTTGAAATGTCTATTCATTTACCCACAAAAACAGAACAGGTCGATTTTTGTTGAGCCTTTTATTTGTTTCATTTAATTTGATACTTAATTTTAAATTGTCATTTTAAAATAAGGTATTGTCCATTGAGTACCGTGCTATTTTTCTTTCTTAAGGTACTTTTTTGCAATATTACACCGTGTCAGCGTAGCCTTTATGAAGAATATTTGTCATCGCACGAGTGTAGCCGTATTCTCTCTGGTAAAACGGATGCCTTTGTTGGTTTAATCACACTGCGCAAATTGTGCAATCATCCGGATCTTATAACTGGTGGACCAAATAAATTTAGTATGAATTCCTTTTTGACAGTCAATTTCGTAAAATTAAGCTGTCATTTGTTATTCGTATCTCACTGCTTTCTTACATCATTAGAAGTGTCAGTGCAATTATCTGTTATGTCACATCCGGTCACTTGACTTAAACACTAATATGACTGCAGCATGCAATATGACTACCATCTAATTTTTTGCTAATTTTTCTCTGTTTTTTACTACCATCTAATTTTTTTCGTTTAGATGATTACAGTGTCACAGCTGAAAACGAAATGGATTTCGGAGCACCCTGCAGGAGTGGTAAAATGCAGGTAACTAATGATATGTTTTTGAAATGTGTGACTATTTTAAATTCGGAATTTTTTCCAGGTACTTAAGGCTCTGCTCAAGTTATGGAAACAGCAGGATCAAAAAGTCCTGTTATTTTCTCAGAGTCGACAAATGTTAACAATCCTGGAAAAATTTGTGATTCAAGAAGGGTGATTGCTTCGTCTTTATTTATATGATTAATTTTTCAGCTACTTTCACGGACAGAATTTTTCCTACACGAATTTTTATTTTAGATACGAATATCTGCGGATGGATGGCACAACACCAGTTAGAAGCCGTCAGTTACTTGTTGAAAAATTTAATAAGGTTATATTAACCATTCATGATCAATCTTCTAATCGTTTCAATCCAATGTATTTTTATCTAAGATACTAGATTATTGGCTGTGTAAAGGAATTTTTTGGATTTTTGGTTGTAAGAAATTATCCTATAGATCGATTTTACGGAAAATGAAATTTCTGTTCGTTTCCACTACAGGTTGATGAAATTTTTATTTTCCTGTTAACCACTCGTGTCGGTGGACTAGGGATCAATCTTACTGGTGCTAATCGAGTGGTAATTTTTGATCCTGACTGGAATCCTTCTACTGACATTCAGGTATACAAAAATTTTGTCTAAAATGAGCATTCAATACTTGTATACTTGTGACCGTTAGAATTAAGAAAAATCCAACCAAAAGATTTGTAGGCACGTGAACGAGCGTGGCGTATTGGACAGGAACGTGCTGTAACTATATATCGATTGTTAACCGGTGGTACCATTGAAGAAAAAATTTATCATAGGTACGACGTCTTTTTTTTTCTCCTCACAATCTTTATGATATCTTTTACTCGAAATGTATGTAAAATTAAAATCTTTATCCTTGTTCTTTTTACTGTTTGAAATCGTTTCAGACAGATTTTTAAAGTTTTTCTATCAAATCGCATATTGGTTGATCCAAGACAACGAAGATTCTTCAAAACCAATGAATTACATGAATTATTCTGTCTAGGTTATTTTATCAATAAACTTCATGTTATTAATCAAATTATTTGGAGAACTTAGATTTCTTTGAACAGAGTTTCTGAACAATTTTCTAGATGATATATCTACTCCTGCACCCTTGTTATAGGTGACAGCAAAGTACTCAAAAAAGAAGGCACTGAAACAGCATCAATTTTAAGTGGCACTACAAAAAACTTTACTCGAAATAACTTCTTCGATAAGACTGAGGAAGGGTAAGCTTTGTTAAGTTTTTATATCGTTTGATTTAGGTTTTTAAAATAGAATGTGAAAGATAGCAGTTATATAAAGAGAATTAGATAAATGCTGCAAGATTTCTTAATCAGTGAACTTATTATGAACTTTGAAAATGTTAGCAGCCGCAAAAAGAAACAAAAGACGATAAAAAAGCGAAAAAAGCTTGATACGAAGGTGATACCTGATGATGATGATGATGATGATGGTGGTGATGCTAAAGCTTTTGTTGAGGAGCATTTATCTGCTGAAAAACTTAACGAATTGCGAAAACTTGCCCGGAAAATCAGCAGGTTTGTATTTACTCGAATGGTTTTTTCAGGATACCAACAGTTTTTGTTTCCTTTGTTATATTACTATTTCTTTTGCAACTTAGGTCAATTAGTAAAAGTGCCGAAGGAAGAACAAAAAGTGGTGAAAGAGAAAGGACGAGTGACAAGCAAAGCAATCAGGTAGATAGTGGAAGTTCAAATATTAAAATTCCTTATTTGAAAAAGAAACGACGTTATAAACAAGTGACAAAAGAATTTTCTGGACAGGTAATCTTTCATTGATATTAATATGATGATTTTGGGCGTGATCTGTCCTAAAACTTTTTCTGTAGCTGAGTTTTTAAAGGATTGTAGCCATATCCTTCCGGAGAAAAGGTTTGAAAAAACGAATTATACGCTGATATTCAACAGTGCTGCAAAAATATCTGTATTCAATGTCGAAATTTTTTCAGGACGATTATGTGCTTAAAAAATTGCTAACTAATGCAGGGATTATCTCAGCTCTTCAACATGACGAGATTTTCGCAACAGGTATTGCAGATGAACAGCTAATTGAAGATGAAGCAAATGCTGTTGCTGCAAAAGCTGCGGCATCAGTAAGACACTCAAGAAGGTTTCATTTCTCAAATATGCGATTCAAAAAACTTTTAAAAAGTGGAATTCTTCGGTCTGATTTACCTCCATCTTTCAGGATTCTTCCAAAACAGTCTCTCGAAAAACCGCGATTTGGTTTGCGGAAAGCTGCTGGATTTCAGTCAGCTATTGACAATAGTACCGATGATATAGAGGAACCGAGTTTCAGCGGTGCAGCTCTATTCAAGTACAGTCTTTATTTTTTCTATTCTTTTTTAGCGCTATAGAACTAGAACATTAGTTCAGACTATACCAAATTTTGATGCTGTAACTACATTTGAAATTGTCGCCTATCACATTCAGAGTAGATTTCGGCAGTTTGGACCATGGAAAAATTCATTATAATATCGTTGAATATTTTTTGTTTTTAACTGAGTCCGAGTCAGTCAAGCATGCTGTTTACAGTTTTTCTTTCATTCAGCGAAAATAGTGGGAATAATAGTGGTAGTTTGTTGGATGCTATTCGTCACAGGAAGCAGCGTACTTTGGATACCCAAAAAGCAATCGATGAGGAACATTTGGAAGAAGTTTGCCTTAAAATTCTTCGAATATACTTATTTCCTCCCTTTTATTTTTACTACATTGAAAATTTTTTTCAGCACTACCCTTCACTTTTCAATGCAGCCGAGGCGTCGAATTTGAAAAAGACGGATAAATATGACAAGTTGGCAGAAGATATTCGTTTATTTATGGTTCACAGGAAAGGGCAAGCATTGACAGATGAAATTTTGCAGAGCTTTAAGGTAGAAGTTTAATCATTTCCATTCGAAGTTTTTCTTTATCAGATTTTATACTAGTCAATGCATTTTCATGAGTGAGAGTTTTTTTTTTTTTCTTAGAATCGTGTATCAGCTGAGGATTCGTTTGCATTTCGATCCATTTTAAAGCGTTTGTGTAAATTGCAGAGAAACTCAAACATATGGATGCTTAGGGATGAGTATCAGTGATCTAGAGTTAAATATAAATGTACATCTCTTTTGCAAATTTTAGCTTTTACCAGCTCTTTGGCAAGTCCATGCTATATGTGAGTAAAGTCTTTGTATTGTCCGTTACTTTCAGTAGGTAATACACGATGAGATTTCTAAATTCACAATTATAACCCAATACGCCAGTGACCTCAGAATTAACTAATTCGTTAGTTTTTTCTTCTAATGATTCTCTGAAGCTCAAAATTTTGGATTTAGAAACATCTTAGCTACATTAATTAGTTAGTAGCTTTTCTGCTGCTTTTTTTCTTCTGTTTGGGAAGTATAAAACATAATACTTGTTTCTCTCTACAAGCCCGCTACCTCACAGAACTTGTATCACCCACCAATCGTTTTGTATTACATTCTTTTCGTTAGGCAGTCACGAATACTATTGACTATTGTTATACCATTGCACTGCCAGATTATCACGTTTTATTCTTATGATTTTGTTCTTTAAAAAAAAACCATGATTCTGTAAATATTTCCATTTATATCTTTATATCAATAAAAGCTGAATGTCCATCCATTTTGTCATATAGATCATCGTTATTTGTATTACATTTTATTCTGCTTTGTTTTATCCATCTCGTTTCATTCTTTCCAGATATATTCTTATGTTGATAATATCATTCTAATAAATTCAAGCTAAAAGCGCATTCACCTTCTAGAAATCACAACAAAATCTAAAGTATCCCAACAGCTGCACTAATAGGATCTAAGCAATTCACTGGTTTTTGCTAAAAAAAATTTCATCTTCCCTTATTCACTTACTTCATGGCCCAAATTCTACTGCATTTGAATAAAACAAAAAGATCTTTCTTCCCATATTTCAGTTTTATAACTTTCCTACTGTTTGATGTTATTCCTTCCTGATTTTAAACAAATTCTTCCAATAATTGGAAAAGTCTGACGAAGAAGATAAACAATCATCTAAATAAATGAAAACGAACAAAGCAATAAGCATTTGCATTTCTAGCAAATTAATAGTGGTAATGTGATATTAGAACATCTTGAGAAGGTTCCTTTTTTTTTCAAAATTTTCCGCTTAGCTGATAAATGGATAGAGTTATACTAACAGCATAATGATTTCCACTAGCTCTGTATCATCCGCGACGAAAAATGTGCAAGATTAATTCAGATATGGCGATCAAACGATCAGGCTTCTATTGATTGACCCCATTAATTTGTATACAACGCATTGCATTGCATGTGATCGATGTAATCAGTTTGATAGTATTTAAGAGAAGCTCTTTAAATGTCAAAGCAGTCGAATCACTGTTTAAAAAAAAAACATCAACCTAGTGCTATTGCCATCTTCGTTTCTTTCATTTTGTGCTGAAACCTGCCACTTCTATGCTGCCTTTCCTGAAAACTAACACTAGACATTTACATTGGAATAAATAATTAATAGTCGTTACATTACCAGAAAACAACAAAATAAAAAACCTGCTAATGCTAGTTAGTCAGATTCAGTTATTCCATTTTTTAAAACCTAATATAAATTTGGGTACGTTCTAAATTAAGGGACAATTAAGGCCCTAAGAAAAGCACCTTTTGAAACTTCTAAATACAATTTTTATTAATTTTAATTCTCGACACCAAGAATTTTTCAACTTTTTGTCAAGACTATTCTAAGCACTTTTTCTGACGAAATACTTCAAAATCCTCCATATTTCGTTGACGAAATGTACAGGTACAAACTGTTTTTATAGACTTTGGCATTAAATTTTTTGTTGGAAAATCAAAAACAAAAATAAAACTAAATAGAAATTTGACGTCGAGTTTATAAATCAGAATTTTTTTTCGCTTTTCAGATGCATCGAATAGAACTGCCAGACTTACAACATCGCTTCATCACATGGTCGTATTTTTTAACCACACGAATCATTCTTCATGTGATATCATGGAAGCAAGTAATTATTGTAATTTTGGTCCAGAGCATGATTACAGCGTGGTTCTAGCAATGGATTACGGTATATGACTGCACCATAATGTTGCTATAATATGTCAAGTTTTTATTATTTTCATTTCTGATTTTCCAGCAATGAATTTTTAAAATAACCAAATTTGCCAACAAGGGTTAGACTGTGTCGGTATGTTTCGTCATCGAAATATGGCAGATAGCAGCAATGTATCGATATCCATATAACACTAATTTTGCATTCAAATTAAAGTTAATTAATGAGGACATTCTTTATGAAATTGTCATCCATCTTCACTCACCGATTTCGAATGATTCGATTTATTCAATTCAATATGTTCAACAATAATTTCATTCTTGCACGACGATATCACTGGTGGCCGAGCCATAATACTGTGATTACGTCCGATGCACCAACCAAATCGTTGTTTCTTTGCGGTGAAATAATGCCGGAACGGCAAAGATACCATGTATGGATCTATTCTAAAATCCGTAACATTGAATTTTAATTTTTAGAAGTTAATGAAATTCAAAGTCGTCTCATTTCCCTATTTTGGTGTCATCCTGCCTCCTGAATACAATGTATTCAAAAATTTAGCTATTACATGAACACGTCAACTTTCGAAAATTTTCGTTTAATTGTTTGAAATTTCATGTAGCAAATCAAGGCATAAATGCTCATTGCAAGTGAACAAAAATATGAGAGGCATTTTCGAACTATGTGAAGTATGTGAGTATAAATAGACGTGAGGTTACTGAAATTATGACGGGCAGCACTGGAATCTATCACGTGTTACAGTGTTTGATGAAATGTAAATCCATTGAAATCCTACATCTGTGTAAAGAAGCTTTCGACAACAATAATTTGAGAAGCTTTGCGCCTCGTTGTTGACAATGGTTTGCTGTCATTGAAACTAGCTTTAAACAGAGATCGGAAAGCTCCACGAAAATTTTCAGCATTTGCTGCATATAATAGTGGATTTAGGGCACAATTGATGTACGGAAAGAGATGAATAACATTGATAATAAGACGATTGAAACACGTGTGTATCCGAAACCGAAATATGGAACTGAGCAAATTAAACAACCAGAATGGAGACCTGAAATTTATTCGATATCTTGATAAAATTCACCCTATCCAGTTAATTTGAATGCAAAAACATAGATGTCTCTTGGTCTTTTGCTACAGATAGTAAGTAATTGATGACCATTATCAAAACAGTCCTATAAATAAAACAAAAAATGTTCTGTGGAAAATTCTGAGAATCATTCTCTCTTACTACAAATGCTTCTTTTTCAGCAAATTATTTGTTCAAATTAAGTTGTTGGAAAAGAAAAATGAACAAAGATGGGTAAAAAATTACAGATTTAAACAAAAAACAAATTTAGATTGCGCAATCGACTAGAAAAGAATTAAAACTGAAATATTCTATGGAATCAATCAACCATTGAAATTGACATAACGAATTTAATCTTTCAGTGAAAATATGTTGAAATCTAATAAAAAGTTAAAAAAAAAGATCATATTGAATTGCTTAGGCTCATCTTAATGATGCTTGCATAGTTAAGGTTGTTGCACTTTCTTATTCGTTCTCCTTGAATATCTAGGAACTAATTACTTATGAACTATCTGTTTTTAAAAAGAAAACTTAAGAACAGGTAATTCATTCGTTTCTCCTCATGTCGTCATAAAGTCAAGCAAGACAAGAAAATCACAACGATATGCTAAATTTTGCAGAGGATTAAATCAAGAATATACTTTTCTTAATGCATATTTCATTCATGTAGTCCTTTGATCCGAATCCCCGTAGGGGAACATAAGATATAAAAGTTATGAGGTATCTCCCGAGAATTCATGTACTTCTATAGTAATTAAAAATTGATCTCAAATAAAACAACACCACTCATGGTCTCACCAGCATGCAGCATGGAATATGACAACGCATAGCACCAAACGCGTTACACGGTGATAAGGAGCACGTGATTTCGACGTACGCTTTAATCGTTTACTGTTACGAAGAGCTTTTCGGAGTTTCTTCAGGACATGATAATTGAAGTAAGTCATCAATGCTAACGGTGCAACATAAATTAAGATTGATGAAAAAGTAATATACCTGAAATGTTTCGGTCTGTAATATATTTAAAACTTCCTGTTTGTCACTTAATTTAATCTATTTTATCTCTCAGTGAAAGTTTGCATCAGATATGATAGAAAAAAGGCGATATATAGTTAAATTAAATTCTATATTGATTGTCAGATATCTGATAAATTGATTATGAGGTATCTCAGAGATTTCAGGTATCTGTTCCAAATATAAAACAAGCGAACCATCGGGCACTTGTTAAGCCAGGCCATTTGGCAATACAGACAAGCCTATTCAACTCTCCAGTACTATTTGTTTGTAGTTCCACCACTTCTGAATATAAGTAAAGCGGAATGGCGGCAGAAAAGGCCAGGATCCAAGCGATGACACTTGATGACACTGCAGCGCAGTAGTTTCGATATCGCGTACATAAGGTCGGACAACATATAGCACAATAACGATCTGCAGCCAATAATACCACAAATATTACACTTGCATATTTACCTGCAATTGCTCTTTATATTCTGAGAGCAAGCAGCTTTATTGAAATACAAAATTTCTAAGTACTAAATTGTGAAAGTAATATATTAAACAAAAATGCTCGCTAATGAAAATATTTGAAATAAGTGCTATTGAAATGCGATTGAATAAAAAGCATCGAACGAACTGCACATGCTTGCAGTTTTTTTTTTCATGCAATTTTCAATGCTTTGCTCATTAAAAAATTGATTTTTTTTTTAAATATGAAATGAAATATCAAAGCAAATTTGTTGAGATCTAATAGGCAATGTTTCGATTTAATTCTCGGAAGATTTCTCTTTTTGAATTGTTGAAAAAAAGATTGTGTTTAATAGAAAGGATAAATGGCAATACAGATAACTCCAAGATTCTTGAATAAAAGACTGAGTAAACCAATTCGCATAGAAGATTTGAGTAAACAGAATCGATTGAATCGATCGATTCGTTGGAAGATTCAATAGTCAAATTTTTTCCAAAAGATTTTTAGAGTCACTAAGAGAATTCAAAAAAGAGAAAGGACATTAAAAAAGTTTTTCATGCTTAATATTCTGTTGATTTGAGTTTATGTGAAAAATCAAAATCCAAATGAAATGGTTAGTTAATTCTCCTGATTTGATTATTTGTTCTTCAACAGGACAATTTAATTTACATCATAAAAAGATTGAACTTGGCCAAGAAATTATAGGTCCTCTGGTTTAGATGCTAATTCAATAAAATGTATGCGCGAAAATATTTCCGCTTGCATGCAATACATCTTTGGATCCATTTATACCTATTTTTATTTTACTTTATTACAGAAAGTCTGAAAAAGCTATTTAGTTGAAGGAGCAAAAGATACACACATACATACACACACAAACATACATACACACACATACATATATACACACAGATACACACACACACACACACACACACATACACACACACACACACAACATAAACGAACAAACAAACAAAAGAATAACAAGTAAAATTGTATTATGTTATATTTAATTTATCTTTCCGATGATTATATTGTACAATGGTATGGTAAATGCAAAATTAGCGCATAAAATTAGCATAGAATAATGTCGTGAAATAGTAAAGACTGCCAGATAATTTATTTGTCGAGCTCAGTGGTTGGATAATCAAACTCCAATCAAATCTATCTAAATGAAGCATTTAGTGCGAAAGTGTTTGTCCGGAGGTCGATTTGTCTTGTGAATACGCAACAGTAAGGGATATTAACCTTTATCGTGAGAAGAGATTGATAAAAATCCGCCAATGTCCGTAGAAGCGAAGAATAAACAGAAGAAGAAGCCGATCACCTTCGAAGAGGAGAGCAGCTCCAAGCCTTCTCGCCCGGATTTTGGACCGAGGTTATATATGTTAAGAAATGGGAATGGTTTACATGAAGAATTCAAGTATCGGAAACACACCGAATATGGTACAAGCATTATAACAAGATTAAACAGAATGATTGACATGGGAAATTAAGGGTTTAAACATAAAAATGCAAATTAGTTAGATAACAACAAAAAAGTGTGGGAAACAATTTTAAGGAATGTAGATATGGTAAGAGTGATTCATAGCATCATTAGCATTAATTTACAA